GAATGCACGGAGTGATCCATCAAGTGATTTAAAAATATATATTAAATTAATTCCCCTTTTTGCTAAGGTGTGGAGGCGTACAGGAGTAGCTGAAGCATGGCTACATGCTAAGGGGGAGCCTGAGATCTCCCTGCGTGTGTATAGCTGGAAATCGCTGCATTTACACGAGCTGTGTTGGGATGTAATTGGCTGATGTTTTTGTTCGGTGCTTGGTAATCTTGAAGAGAACGCCGCCTTTGTTGTGGAATCACAGTGGATGGCCTTCAACGTGGTGATCCATTGCTATTCGTGAGCGAGGTTCTATTTGCACGGGACAATATACACAGGCATGGTTCAATAGGCTCTGACGCTTGAGTAAATAAGACAGACAAGCATGGGAGAGAACACATACACACACACGTGCATGCACAAGTGCGTGCTTTCATACACGCACACAAAGATCCCCCCGTATGTCACCTTTAACAGACTGTTGGGGCAAGTGCTGTAAGCGAGCACCGATGAAGGCCGGCACGGCACACAACGAGGTGGGTGTCCAGCGCCACGCCCAGCCGCCTTTGTCTCCAAAGTGCCAACGATTTACACACCGTAACCAGGTACTAATTTGAGGCCAAGTCGACCTAGGGGAGGCCCAGTACCAGTTCAAATATTCGCTTCCGGTCTTGTCCACGAGTGGAAATCGAACTCGGGTCACTGGGTTCATTGCTCAGCGTGCTAACCATGACACTGCACCTCCCGATGACCACTCCCAATATGCGTGTAATCACACACATGCATGCAACCATGTCACGTCGAAGTGCATGCACTCAGCTATAGCACACATGCTAAGATATACAATTATTCCATTTGGCTTAGGACCAGTGGAGCACCTGTTCAGGTACAGTATACTACACAAACCGTATCATACGCAAATGTATATACAGTGAGGGAAAAAAGTATTTGATCACGTGCTGATTTTGTACATTTACCCACTGACAAAGAAATGATCAGTCTATAATTTTAATGGTAGGTTTATTTGAACAGTGAGAGACAGAATGACAACAACAAAATCCATAAAAACGCATGTCAAAAATGTTACAAATTGATTTGCATTTTAATGAGGGAAATAAGTATTTGACCCCCTCTCAATCAGAAAGATTGCTGGCTCCCAGGTGTCTTTTATACAGGTAACGAGCTGAGATTAGGAGCACACTCTTAAAGGGAGTGCTCCTAATCTCAGCTTGTTACCTGTATAAAAGACACCTGTCCACAGAAGCAATCAATCAATCAGATTCCAAACTCTCCACCATGGCCAAGACCAAAGAGCTCTCCAAGGATGTCAGGGACAAGACTGTAGACCTACACAAGGCTGGAATGGGCTACAAGGCCATTGCCAAGCAGCTTGGTGAGAAGGTGACAACAGTTGGTGTGATTATTCGCAAATGGAAGAAACACAAAAGAACTGTCAATTTTCCTCGGCCTGGGGCTCCATGCAAGATCTCACCTCATGGAGTTGCAATGATCATGAGAACGGTGAGGAATCAGCCCAGAACTACACGGGAGGATCTTGTCAATGATCTGAAGGCAGCTGGGACCATAGTCACCAAGAAAACAATTGCTAACACACTACGCCGTGAAGGACTGAAATCCTGCAGCGCCCGCAAGGTCCCCCTGCTCAAGAAAGCACATATACATGCCCGTATGAAGTTTGCCAATGAACATCTGAATGATTCAGAGGACAACTGGGTGAAAGTGTTGAGGTCAGATGAGACCAAAATGGAGCTCTTTGGCATCAACTCAACTCGCCGTGTTTGGAGAAGGAGGAATACTGCCTATGACCCCAAGAACACCATCCCTACCGTCAAAAGCGACAGGACAACTTCACCGCATCAAAGGGACGATGGACGGGGCCATGTACCGCCAAATCTTGGGTGAGAACCTCCTTCCCTCAGCCAGGGCATTGAAAATGGGTCGTGGATGGGTATTCCAGCATAACAATGACCCAAAACACACGGCCAAGGCAACAAGGGAGTGGCTCAAGAAGAAGCACATTAAGGTCCTGGAGTGGCCTAGCCAGTCTCCAGACCTTAATCCCATAGAAAATCTGTGGAGGGAGCTGAAGGTTCGAGTTGCCAAACGTCAGCCTCGAAACCTTAATGATTTGGAGAAAATCTACAAAAAGGAGTGGGCCAAAATCCCTCCTGAGATGTGTGCAAACCTGGTGGCCAACTACAAGAAACGTCTGTCCTCTGTGATTGCCAACAAGGGTTTTGCCACCAAGTACTAAGTCATGTTTTGCAGAGGGGTCAAATACTTATTTTCCTCATTAAAATTTAAATCAATTTATAACATTTTTGACATGCGTTATTCTGGATTTTTTTGTTATTATTCTGTCTCTCATTGTTCAAATAAACCTACCATTAAAATTAGACTGACCATTTCTTTGTCAGTCGGCAAACGTACAAAATCAGCAGGGGATCAAATACTTTTTTCGCTCACTGTATTACACAAACCGTATATATTACACAGACGAGTCGAATGTCCTGCACCATGACTAGTGACGAAGTAAAGCAACCTATGCCATATTCTTACAATTATTTCATGCAGAGTTGATCTAAGGGAAGCCCAAGCACCAGGCCAGGTTCAGGCAACAATTGCCACTAATGTATATGGCTCGTGGCATGACCCCAGGTCTATAATATTATACATCATTGAAGCATATCTGCATACTCGTATGTAGTTCATTTATCAACATGTCACTGCTACACACACATGCACACGCACGTCTGAGAGATACAATAGTCACATCTATGAGACCAACGGTGGTTGAATATGTGCGTACGCTCATATGCGTGTGTAATTATTGTGAATTTTTTAAGAGTAAATATTCTTCATGAAATCATCTTAAGGCTCTTATTCGACGAAAGGTCGCGTAATCTGTGGATTAACACGCGCATACTCCCCATTTCGTTTGACGCTTTTAAAACTAGAAGCTGGATAGCCCAAATTAACCCTTTCCTGTTTCAATGACGTACATGTATATACATTATCCGTTTTACTTCCGGTTGCGTTCAGATTACATAGATGTACGTCATCGGAATAAAAACTAAAATAAAATAACTTTATCGGTACCAAGGCTTCCACAAGGCCATGCGGGAGGGCGTGTGGCACAGTTTGGCACCGGCTATCCTAGAGTGCGGTCGTGTCACTACAGTTCTCTGCGGTAAGTGTGATGTCTTTAAAAACAACAGCACTACTACACCTCTCTAAATTAAATTAACGCTGAGCCGCTTGTGTGCTCCGAGATTCAGCGGTGAACGGGACCCCCACCCTGCAACTTGCAAACGTCTCGGAAAGGGAAAGGGTTAAAACCACGCTATCAATCCACTGCTGGATGAAGGAATCCTCAAGTTGCCGCTGCTAAATCTCACGATCCTGCGACGCCGGAATGAGTAGGCCCCGTAGATGTGATCCCACCCAACCAGCCCAGCCTCTAGTAATTTTGAAATAAATTAACCCACCAGCATTCACAATGCCCTGCTGTTTCAAACAAACCGTAAACTCAGACCCTTCAGTAGCCCAGCATGCTGGGGGGGGTGCCCCAAAAGAATGTTTATTTCCTTCAATCTCTCTTGCGTAAAGGGCAGCTCCATTGAGAAGAACACAGCTCATTTAGCAAAGATGCCCAGTGGCATTTTGCTGAAGAAATTCATTAATTTTCCCGTGGATTTCCCCGGTACGGAAATCTCTGCGATGGCGACACTGGACTCGTACAAAACAAAACGCACCGCGCACTTTCTATAGGAAATGTGTTGAATTTAAATGTGTATTGTATTTACCTTATTAGACCTGAAACTTAGGAGGCATGTAACAACCGATTTAATTATTAAAAGAGAATCATGCACGCAAGAATGTGTGTGTTTTTTTATCGCACGAAGTTTAAGCAAATAAGACTCATATCTTCTTTGGTTCTTTTGGTAAAGTCACGTAGAATGAGAATAAAATAATAAAATAACACAATAAAATTCTCACGACGTTTCGGCCACAACGCAAGCGGCCGTCTTCAGCTCTGTCGTCCCGACAGTTCTGTACCTTTCACCTGAAGACGGCCGCTTGCGTTGTGGCCGAAACGTCGTGAGAATTTTATCGTGTTATTTTATTATTTTATTCTCATTCTACGTGACTTTACCGAAAGAACCAAAGAAGATGAATCCTTGCAGTCACGAAAGCTTCAAATCGAAATTTAAGACTCTTATATTCAGCCTAATGCAGGGAAGGAAACTGTAAAGCAAGACGGTACAGACTTTTGAAGTCACAACACCCAAACTGTGACAATTCACAATTCGACAGAGCCATTCGAATCGGATTGTCACGTGGCAATCGATCCAGCTTTTCTAGCAGACCTGAATTTTGTCCGACGTTTTTTTCTGGAGAACACATCCAGCATCATCAGGCACGCACAAAAAGCCCAGGTGTTAGCAAAGCTCAGCTTTAAAAACAAATGGACATTGAAACCTGCATGACGACCTACGCCAAATCAAAATTAATTAAGAATCAGAATATTGGCAGTGAAAGCTTAAGTAGGAAATCAATTCACAATTCATCATTTTGGGGGGAGAGAGAGATGGTTGGGGGGGGCAGGGGGGGAGGGCGGGAGGCTCGTGACATTACCGCACCTTTGATTAGCACAGTTGTCTAAGTATCGTGCAAAAGAAGTTAAACATTTCCATATACATACCTAAAACAACAAACAACAACAACAACCGCCATTCGCCACTAAGTGGTGGTGACGTCACCACAGCGCTTGCGCCAGGCTACATGCACTTTCGGGCCACGTGAAAGTGTCGAACACCCACTGGCAGGTCACGGAACAGACCCAGGTGCCATGGGTTGACCGAGATGACCGGCCGATGCACCAGAGACGTACCAACATACGCGACACGCCTACAACTTCGTGTTGCAGGAGCAGTTGCGGCTGCGTGTCGTGCGACCGAGGGAATCTCCCGGCGGCCGGGGCCTCTAACCTTCTCGGAGCATTCCCACTTTGAGGCACTTCATGAAGCGGCAGGCCTGGCAGGCCTTGCGCCTCCGCTTCGTGATCTCGCACTCGTTGGACGCCGGGCAGCTGTACTCGATGTTCCCTGAGACACAAAGAGACAGAAACGCACGCACGCACCGGGCGCACGTGAGCGCGCGAGGGAACGCGGACCGCACTGCCGTGCTCGCGATGACGCGAGCACGTACGTGTGTGTACGTATGTATGTAAGTATGTTGAACTTCTTTCACACCGTGCGTGGCCAACCGTGCCGATCGGAGGTGTGCGGGAAAACAAACAAAAAAGCATCGATGGCGCGAGAGGAAATTGTTGATCAGGAGCAACGTGGCGGGACTGGCGACGGCCACGCTCCCCCCCAAGAGGGGTCCGGCACCACTGGTGGTTTCTGGCCGTGCGCGGGCCTGTGCTCACGACCGGCTCGCCGTTGGTGTGACGACGCTGGGCTGATGGGACGCAGCACAATGCAGAACTGAGAAGCCCGGCGTCGTGGCGACGAGTTCCGATACCTGTTTTGTGACCTAGCAGTGAAACTTCACGCGAAATCGAGTTGATGCATTGTACAGCTCTCCGATGTCTTTTCGGATCGTGTTTGCACGCTGTTCGGCACGATATCTGGCGTTTCTGGATTAAATCGCTTTACTTTCCGAAGTAGCTACCTCAGCACGTGGAGTGAAATGTCTGACAACGTGCCCAAACAGCAGCACAGAAGAGGAAAAGAGCCGCATAGCACCACCTGTGCAGCAGAATAAAGATCATCACTATGCTCGACAATAGCAAATGGGATGAAACATTTCCAACTAACAATGGTGGTGGCATTTATTTGTCCGGGCAATTTATGCTCCTGCATTGGGATGTTTACTCAAAGCCATCAATAAGTGCTCATCTAGGTTGAGGAGCACTTATCTTCATTTTCAAATGTCGAATTGGGGCGCCATGGCTCTCCATGGCTTTGCCCGGTGACCTGCTCTTGAAAACGGACATTGGTGTGATTTTTTTTTCCCCCCAAAATTTATTTTTATTAACACAACAATTCAGGTAACCACACAGAGGTTAAGAACGGGGGCATTCACACCAGCGGAAACACATTCCGGATTAAAGTGCAATGGAAACCTGTCTAAACATCAACTCTACAACTCCGGTGTCTCCCTAAGCTGTAGGAGAATAAGAAAGAGGCGGGTAGGGTGGGCGAAATGGGCCCGAATTTTGACGACCGCTGGGTAGCTACGCACAAGCTACTGGGCCAATGGGCAGATTTCAAAGCCTCGAGTCTCCCATGCAAACTCGCTCAGCGGCAAAAAGCACATTGACTTACAAGGCCACGCAACCACTCAAGCACTCTGGAGAACGGTGGCGTTTTTTTTATGTCCACACAAATTAGCAGACAGCATGCTTGTTTGACGATGTTCCCAAAGCACATTACCGTGGGAATTCGGTTAGATTTGAGCCAGCGAACTGTGAAGCAGGAGGCTGGCTCAGTAGTAACTAGACGACCCACCCACCCCCAGTAAATATGTAAATATGTCCGCTGTTATGTGCATCTTGAACAATGAATGTGTGCGCATATATAATGTGTAGTGGAAACACTCCACAACTGCCGGATGCATGCACAACTGCGCTGGCGTGTGCCGTCTGTGGAAATCCCAAGTTCGATTCCTGCTCACGACCAACGTCAGTGACAAATGTTGGAATAGGTTCTGAGCCGACCGTAGGTCGACTCATACTTAAATGAACTCCTGGTGCAGTGTGCATACGAATCAGCACTCGGGAGACAAAGGCTGCCGGGCATCGGTAATTGCCACATCACCCCTTCGTGTGCCGAATCGGCCTTCGTAGGCGGTCTCTCACAGCACTTGCCCCAACAGTCTGTTAAAGGCTATACATGGGATCTTTGTCATAACTTTTTTGGGAATAATTCACCTCTTCCACCAGCGATTATATACATAAAAAACGAGTAATCTTTGGCTGGACTGTAGTCTCGTTTGTGCTACGGCTTCATTTTTACAGTCGCGTTTATTCCATTTCATTCGCTACATGAGTCCAAATGAGCACGAGTGTGTAATTTACACAACATAACAGACGTATAAAAAATAACCAAATCCTTAGATTTATGTATCACGATGATACGTACTCAGTAGACATGCAACGTTGGACCAACGTTGGGCCAATGTCGGCCCAACGTTGCGTATATAATGGGTACCAATGAACGTGGGGGTCAATGTTAGTAGCTAAGTAATTTGATGCATTTGTGGTTCGGTGAATTGTACTACAGTCACTGCCACCTTGGAATGTATTTACACATTTTTGAGTAAACTTATCCTGGGCGTCACTTAGGTCAACTCAGCCTTAAAAGGTATCTTGCTACAGGGCCTGATGAGAAATAAATGGAGGCTGTGTTTTTTTTATCATTGTGTAAATAAGAAGCCGTGTAAAATATGTGTATGTGTATACAATTGAAGTGTGTACATGTAAACAAATACAGATATGTACCACAAACATGTTTTGCAGAACAAAATATTATATACGCTGTCCGTGTCTGTGGGTGCGTACACACGCGTGCGAAGACGACCAGTCGCACGAGTTCAATTCCCGCTCTCGGCCAAGATCAGTGGCGTGCATTTGACCCGTTCCTGGGCCTCTCCTAAGTAGGTTCGGCAATAAACGATAATGCGGTGCGGTGTGGAAACATCAGCAATGGGGACGCAAAGGCAGCTGGGTGATCTTAGTCTTTGTCTATAAAATAGAATTGTATTGGCGGTTTCTACAATGACAACAATGTCAATATTACTCTATGTTCCATAATCTATGCACCATTATCAAATAGTCAATAAAGACAAATAACCACGCACAAGCTGGTCATTAACCTTTGAACTTATTTTTTCAGAAATTTATTTTAATTAAATGACCCTTTCCAAGCCATGTTGCAGGTTTACAACGGTCATGAAGGCAGCAGAATCCAGATTCACATTTACCCTGGTCCTGAGTTTTCTCACTGCAGCCAAATCGAGGTAAGCTGGGTTAAGAACAATATTTGTCGACTGCAGACTCGCCTTTTATCTACGACCCTATTACTCGCGACTCTTACAATCAGAAAAAAGTCAAGGGCCAGTGAAAACTCCTATTATCCATGCCCCTACTCATCCTACTATTCACGCATGTCCGTGATTTATTTCCATGGATTAATGGTGAAACAATTTGCGGATATTCTAGATTTGAAGCTTTCGTGACCGCAAGGATCCATACTCTTTGGTTCTATTCGGTAAAGTCACGTAGTGATTTGCAGATAACATGGCAGATAAAACAATCGTGTTGGTGCCTCACATTGGAGTGGACAAAAAGAGCGCTCTTAATGTATTTAATTTTTATTTTGGGGGAAAAAAAGAAAACTTCTCTGTACAACAACTCAATGTGTCACGCCAGTTGACTGCATTGCAAGGCCACGATTCGTCTCCTCTGCAGAGAGACACAATCACTGCCGGCCACGTGTTACCGTGCGTCCGCATTTGCCGAGGCTTGCTTAACTGCAGCGCTTGCACGCCACGATAAATTTGGCATCAAACGGCAGCTAATGAAGTATAGAGTTCTACCCCTTAGGAAATCAAACATTCAGCACTCGGAGCTTGAAAACACAATAATCAAGAGCTCGCCACGGCAATTGATACCATCGCACCTCGTATTCACTTCCTCCATTCTGCCAGATACAGCAATTAGTGCACAGTCAGCACCCAACATCCCAGCTCTGTTATGACAGTGGCCGATACTTTGCCTTCAGCCACACAGAGAGTGAGGCGATGCATCCTCAAGCCGCACCCTGAAAGGATAGAAGGGCCCATTACCCAAAAGGTCACCGACACTGAATATTTGTTTTTGTTTTTTTCCCTTTGAGCGAATTTCTATTATTTCGTATGGAAATAGCTTTGTTCTTAACTAAAACTGGCTTTGTAAAAAAACATGTATGTTCAGGAGCTAGATGCCAATGTCCAGGTCTGCTAGCCACGCAGAACGGGATTGAGGAGAGAGAGAGTTTCGTGTGGGCTTGCCGTTCGTCCTCCTCTGTTAAAGGAGCACAGACTACGGTGGTTTACTGTACGGTCCATGGTTGAGGTTGCATGGCCGCAGCCACGCTGTGTTATTGACGAATGTATATTTGTGATTTTGCAACGCATTTTTTTTGGGAAAATCCTGTTGAAAAGGGGTCCCATAAACCCAGTGAGGCCTTTTTGGGTATACAACTGACAAAGATGGTTCACTGTTTTCTGTGTTTAATGAATAGAAAATAATATTATTATTAAGCTTTAAATACAGCATTTGGCATTCATGTTTTGAACGTGTATTTAAAATTGCACGTGCAAGCTTTCGCGTCCAATGCGTGTAGCATTGCTCGCTTAATTTTAATCACTACATTAATGCAGATTCCTTCGAAACGTTAAATTACGTCCGTCAATGTGCCCGCAAGTTCTTCGTCCTATGCCCATGCAGTGGCATGAAAAATCTACAATCTCGTCTCCCAGAATTGAAGTGTCACCTATTTCAAGAGAGCTCCTGCTTTTGCCGCGGCTTAAATGTGCCTCTCCCTTAAGCCTTCCGGACACTTTGCTTGGCATTCACAGGGTGCGCCGCCGGTGTAGATGACCAAAGTTTACAGACAAAAGGAGGTGATCATAGCAGCTGCTGTAAGCAACTTAACACTGTAAACGTGCTGCACCATCTCCGCCGTGCCTTATGGCCAATTATAGTCGCGCACGGCAAGGTTTTGTGAGATCGGGTGGGAGCGTTCAGCTAATGGAAAGTTGCTTAAAGCCAAACTGCCAGTTGTCCCTGTTAAAAGAGTGAGGGATATCCTATCTGGTGCACGACAATCGGCTAATCCACGGTAATGGCACACTTGTAAATGTGCTCATTATAAATAGAAGAGGCGGTGTGCTAATTTTGTTGGGGGGAGCAATTTTTTTTTCTTTTTCTGTTTAACGTTATTTTTGTAACATTATTAGCGCAAATGTAATTGTACACGCTACTCATTATTGTAACGGTTTGTGCAATAATACAAATAGCCAGCCAGCTGTGTGCATTCTGGCTAATTAGTAATTAAAGGTGACCTTTGAGAATGTGCCCACTTATAATGTCTCGTGATTGTGAATGGAAAGGGCTGCCATTACTGTCTGCGCATGAGCGCTCTGCTCATAAACGGACGAGATGTTCTGCGGGAGGCTGGCCTGATTACGGGCGAGAGAGGGGGGGGGCGATCGAAAAGTTTGCGGCTTCACGTAAAACGCAGCAACGTGCCCCAATGAATCCACATTTTCTTTTTTTTTACACGAGGTCCCCTTGTGGTGCAGTGCATTTTGATGAACTGAAACTTAACTACTAAATGCATTTTTTTTTAAACAGGTAAGGCTCTAATTCTTTAGTTATTTCGGTAAAGAAAGAACAAAAGAGTAATTCCTGCAGTCTCGAAAGCTTCAAATCCAGATAAGGCTCTTTTTCAGAAGCGACCTAGACACAAATAATAGCTCAATGAAGTGGCTTATCGTGTGAAAATGTATAGCAGCCAAATACTCTAAACGCACGTTTCTAAACACTGGAGCATCAACACTGATGCACCAGCGTTGCGAGGCATTCGCTCGTCTTTTTACACAAAACAACCATTTCCATGAATCACTGTGTAAACCGTGAGACCACAAGCTAAAGTCAACGTGACTTGTGACTCAAATGAAGGTGGAGTTTGACCACAGGATCACTCCTGTTGACTTCCCCACAAAGTGGTTCCCTGCTTTATCGACCCTCGAGGGATTAATGACTCCCATGCAAGATTTAAACTTGCAACATTCAGACTGTGAACAACTGGCCACAGATACAAGGTGTCACTTTATTGTCACTGGAAAATTGCTTTCTCTCTGTGGTGAGTTAATCAATGAATAACGGTGGAAGCATGTACTAGTCACTTCGCAGCCAGATCGCGAATGGGCAGGGGCGGAGCCAGGATTTCAGGCCGGGGTGACATTCAACAAATTTTTATTTCAAGAATGATTAGAGAGTCAGGCTGTTGAACTAGACGCCATCGGTTGGCGACACACTCTGACGATGCAGTTGCACGGAGTCCGCCAGACCGAGTGTCGTACACTTATATGCAGAATGTCACTCCCCCCTGGCTCCGCCCCTGCGAATGGGTATGGATTTCTCCTGATTTCTCCTGATTTTCTCTGAGTTTTATTCGGATTCATATGGATATTTTTTTTTTCCACCCCAGAGCTCTCAACTTTAACGAACACAAAAAAGCAGGAATACGAGCGCCACGAAAAAACGTCTGAATTAATCCACAGCAATTAAATACGGTCGTGGGTCATGAAAGTAATTTCCTATTAAAGAACGGATCAATCTTGTGCTGCAGCAGCTCTTTTCAGGTTGGGCAGCGTGTCGTTTTGCATGATGTCCGACGTTCCGCCTCCACGTGCGCTGGCAGCTTCAGCTCTTGAAGGAGTTGTAATTTCCTCCATGAACATCGCGCTGAGCGAACTCATGCTTGCGCCCGACGGACAAGTTCCGAAGAGCCGTACGGCGCAACCTCAAGGAAAAGCCGAAGCACTCCGTCGCATCACCGCTCCTTTGTCAGGCTTCAGACTTGTTGACCAGCCCCTCGGCGTGCCCCTCCCCGCTGTCAGGCTCTCACTCATTCTACAAGACGAGGGAAGGATTCTGCGACCCGCTCGAAGACATTGCGCGCAATTTACTCTCGGGCCACACGGGAAGCATGTCTCGGGTAAAAAAAAAATTTTGATGCTGAATTTCCAAGCCAATCACACTTTGTAAAGCGATAATTGGCATTGACAAACTTGACTAACTGAGAGGGTGTCGCCGTTCAAATTTGACACCAATGTCTGCGCACGTCGAGAAACAAGAGGGGAGTCCAGGTAGTGGAGGAGGAGGAGACAAAAAAATAAATCCCTGACGCAATTTGTTTTGGGGTGAAATAGAATTGAAATATGGCATCAGTAATACATTTTAGTCAATGAGTTGGTTATTTTTGTTAGTTGATCATTGAGCGCAATGATATAACACGCCTGCACCTTGGCGATCTGGAGGCAGAGTTGCCCGGATCGTAAACATTTCTACGGGAGCCTCACAGAATATAACAAATGATGACATCTTCAGAGGATGGCAGTACAGAAAGTGGGCTCCTGATCGAATAATGTGCACACTTTGACGTGTTATTCGATCAATGACATGCATGCCTCTTCTCCAGTTTACTCCACAACTGAAAACTTCGATTCAAATGGAAGTGACGCCCAGCTTAGCAACAATGCAGGATTCTCTGGGAAGAGAGTCTTAACACTCCATGAGGCTTTCTGCACCTCCGATTAGCGCGGTTGACCACTCATGGCGTGAAAGAAGTTCAACACACATACACACCCTGGATAAATGAACAAATCGCAGCAGAAAACAATTCGCTGGCCTTAATTGGCATCGTCAACATCGTGCAAATCGAACCACGATGAGCGACGGACCACAGACGGCCACGGGTGACAACCGAAACTCAGCCTTGCCGGCGCATCTCCTTTGGGCACGAGGGGCGAAACGTCAGCTCAGCGGACGAACGCGTGAACCCCCCTATCCCGTGTGGAAGCGCCGGCGAGAAGCCCCCTCACCCTGTATGGTGCGCTTGAAGAACGCCTTGCAGGCCTCGCAGGACGCCACGCCGTAGTGGTAGCCCGAGGCCACGTCCCCGCACACGAGGCACAGGCGCTTGGGCATGGCGTTGAGCATGTACTCGCACTTGGTCTGCACGTCGGCGCCCGGCGGCGAGTCGTCGTAGCGCTTGCGCCCGTTGGGGCCTCCCGGCCCCACCACGGCCACGGCGGCCGCCGCCGCCGCCGCCGCCGCGGACGAGGCGGCGGACGAAGAAACCGCGGATGAGGCCGCGGCGGCCGCGGCGGAGAAGGGCGAGTCGAGGCCGTTGTTCCGCGCGTGCGTCGAGTCCGCCGCCGCCGTGGCGGCGGAAGAGGAGTGGTGGTGGCGGTAAGGGCGGCCGTGCAGCGCCGACGAGCTCATGCCGACGCCGTAGCTGCCGCTCGTGTCCGACGAGCCACTGGGGCTGTGCTGCTGCGCCAGCGAATCGCCCAACGGCGACGGGCTGCACGGCTCTGTCTTGATGTAGGGTCCGCACGACGGCAGGGAGCCGCGGTCCTTGGCTGACATGCTGCTCAAAGGCCTGGGGAAGAGGCGGGCGGGCAGAGGTGCAAGAAGCGGAAAAGGTTGTTGTTTAGTACGATTAGTTAGTTTTGGATAACCAGGCGTCAGACCGAATGGGGAAGTCTAGACCTCCCTGTTACACGAAGACTTCTAGATTTGAAGCTTTCGTGACTGCAAGGATCCATACTCTTTGGTTCTATTCGGTAAAGTCACGTAGGTAAAAAATTAAAACAACAAAAATCACGTTTCGGCCACAACATTTACCTGATGAAGGCCACTTGTGTTGTGGCCGAAACGTCGTGATTTTTGTTGTTTTATTTTTTACCTACGTGACTTTACCGCACCAAGACTTGTTCGGCCATTCAACGACCTCGTCTGAGATCCCGGGAAACAATCTGGGATTGCCATTCGCGACAGTTGGACGAAGCGGGGTCAACCGATGGCCACTGGCGAGCACCGTGGAGTTCTGCCGAGGTTATGAATGAAAGTTAATCGGGGACCCCCACCATCAACCGCTTACAGAAGCAGCAACCGCTCACTGCTGCGCGTGCCTCTTGCACGAGTGGGAAAATAAAGAGGACACCCCCCCCCACCCGCACAGTGTGGCGACTGTGACTGCGGCCACCCGAACCAAATGATGGGACGGCATCGTGGACAACTGCGTCGTTCCACGCCCGCACTCTGTGAGATTGTAGAGTATCGGTCGTGCTACTCCCGAAGCTATCGCACGGCTCTCTACCCCTAAACCTGGACGTATTGTGTACACGTGTTTCCCATATGCGGGAGACGATTAAGCAGACGAGAAGTCGAGAGATGAGAATAGTCTCGTTTGCAAGAGTCACCGAAATGGCAAGATGAAATAAAAACAAAACATCACGAGGAAAGACCGAAATAACATCGGAGCAAAGCAACCACCTCGCAGCAGAAATCTACAACGTCGTTTGGACACATGTATAAATGTTAAATTAAATATCCTGGAAGGTAAGTTGGCGCAGTAAGAATACTTTTAAGGTCAAAGTCAAGAGGTCGCCATGGGCCAATGAAGTTCATGCCACCACACCTCACCATTGCTTCCTTCCCTCTGCCAGATTCTGCAGCAGCTGCACACCAGACACCCAACTTGCAAGATTGTCTCATCTCGTCCCACGTGGGTTTAGGTCTTCCCCTGGTCTTGATAACCTTCTCTCCTTTACTCTGCTTACGTATCCCACTCATCACAATTTCCTCTTTTGCTGAGTATCCACAAGAGCTGGTATACCGCGTTGTTTTATGAACACCAAAGTTATTTACCCCATCCTGCCATGACGTTCCTAGCATATCCTGTATACACTTAATGCCAAAGGTTGGAAGATTTGATTCTGTTAAAGCTCAACTCTTTATGCCATATATTATATGAACACAGACCCTAACATACGCATCTTGTTAACATTACCATTGACCTCTTCTCTCTTTGTAAGTGGCTCATGTAGCCTGTCAAATCTTTGCTCTGCAAATGCAAAACACCCCTTGAGCCCCTTCTCATAGCAGTCTGCATGCTACACATGCGTAACTCAACGCAAAGTCTTCTCGGTTCTCCTAAAGAGCTCTGGGATCGCTGCCACAATCTCGCCAGTTAAACTAAACTATGAACTACTTTGATTTTACCAGGTAAGGCCCACTGGATTTTTTGAAAGCTCAACGGAAGTGGCTTACCACGTGGAAAAGTATAGAAAGCAAACTACTAGAAACGCATGTTTCTAAATGTAGAGGGAAAAATCGAAGGACCCCGGAGAAAAATCCACGCGACCACGGGGAGAACGTGCAAACTCCAAATATGCGGGCGTCAAAATCAGGATTGACCCCATGACCTCCAGGTAAGGTAGTTAAAATCTCGCCACCATGGCGCCACGTTCAACCTCCCAGTGCAGCAGCTGAAACAACGGTACAAGTGTCCTAACTTGCTCCCTCTTTGTCCACCCAGCAGTATACATTTATACACCGCAGTTAGTCGATAACCGGAATCGAGTGTGATTGGCTAAAGTGTGGGTACTTCCACCTCTGCCACGACGTCTGGCCATTGTGGAGGAGTAGGCCAAAATCCCACCAGAGCTCCCACCGGTGTGGCGTGAGCCAGCAGTGGTGGTGTGTGAGCAGGAAATGGCAGGTCCGCACCTTCACCTCGGGCTTCTCAGGAGGTAGTCGGGAGGCTGAAGAAGAGTGGGTGCAGTGATGCATGCCTCATAATCCGGCCACTTTACTTAAAATTGAAAGTTGATGAGAGGTTGAGACCTATTATAAAGCCAATCAACGTCAGCAACAGTGATCCAACAGCGTGGAGTGAATGGCATTCGACTTGAGAGGAACATGGCTCAGATCTCTATGGGTTCTGATCATTTTTATCCAAAATCCGCTTCCCAGCTGCAATATGATATTATCCATAGTTTTTTTTTTTAGATCGGAGCAGCTGATGGCAGTGCCCAATCGCGATAGGTAATGGATGAGAATTGCTTCGTAGGAAGTTATTACATAAATAATAGAGGCATACAATCGCTTAAGATGATCAGGACGAGTGCGCAGACTTGAGGATGTGACCCTTCTTCTTTCTGTATGGCTGATGCAGAACGACGACTGGCAATTTCGCATTCAGGTGGACAAGCCAGATAACGGCGTCAGGAGCAGCGGAGTTGTGTCGCTGCGATGCCTCCTTCGCATTTGTGGATCAGGCATTGCGTCGTTACCCGTTGCACGGCCCGTTCTGGATGGCCACAGTTGCACGCTACTGGAGAGTTTTTAATTTTCCATTTGAATGTGACCCTAATCAGAAGCAAGTTCGAGTGGCTAATCGGCGCGAGCCGCTTCGTTTTTTTGTGAACGTCAATGGGAACGTCTGCAGCACGCGGTGACCATTCAGTGCGCGCTGCAGATTTGTTGAAGTGCGTCGATTGCGACGGACTATTCCGGCCACCAGATTGCTGCGGCCGAGGGGGGTACGGGCGCTAAAACGTTGACGACGCGAGTTCAATGCCAACTGTAGGGAACCAATTAAGGTTGGGTTTTGTTTTTTTTAAGAATCTTGAATGCGTAATTAATATTCGTCGAAGTGCAATGGCCATGAACTGTGCATTGTGAGGGAAAGGTACAGCCCTGCGGTTGGCTTGTTCGTGCCACTAGTGGCGCAAGGCCCTCGACTAGATGGAGCTCTACAGAGCCCCTCTGGAGCATAATTTTGGCCTACTTTTCCACACCGGCCACATGTTGTGCAAGAGGTGGAAGTACCCACACTCTACCCCACCGTATGCAATTCGACAATCAATGAACTGTTGGTTGGACGTAATAAATGTTTTTTTTTGGGTTAGATCGCGTAAATATAAATGTGTCGTTAAACCCGGCGCCACCCGACACAGCCAGTTAGTAAGGTTTGTCACGTGAACAAAACGTGCCACTTCAGCAACACCGGTGTGTTGGAGAGTAAACTCACAACATTTACAAGTCGAGTACGACGGTTCGCTGGTGATTACAAGAACCAGCCTCATCAGGCGAACGCCAGACATTTACGACACGTTTACATTTACGCGATCTAACTAAAATAAAAACCCTTTGTAATGGATAATACCGGTTGCGATAGCCTATGGCGTGTTAAACTCGTGAATGGCATCCCCAGAACGATGCCCAAGTCCATGGGCAGGGAACTTTGGGCCTCCTCTTCCGTGACACCCGGACTGTGGAACTCTGGGAGTCCGGTTCGGTTGGGACCTTCAAGTCCCACCGACAATCATTCCTCTTTCAGAAAGCGTTTCTTATTTTAACCTCGAGCCAATTCGTCCTCATCCCATTGCTATTGATGTAAAGCGCCTTGAGATTGTATGATGAATGGCATTACATAAAGCTGTAATTATGATTATACTGTACAGTGTTGGGTGAACAGAGCCGATTGGGGGGAGGGGGTGGGGGGGGGGGTTCCACTAGAGGGGAGCTCCAAAGAGCCCCCCATAGAAAGGATTTGGCCCATTCGTCCACGCGGGTCAAATGTCTTTGTAAGAGGTGGAAGTTCCCACACTTTACCCCACCACACCTCACCTGTCGATCGCCTAACTCTGCCGCAGTTGTTAATACTGCTCGCTGGACAGAGGTGGGTGGGTGGGATTTAATAAACTTGCGCCATCGTTTCAACGGGAGATCGAACCGTCGACCATCGGATTGCAGCTACTAGTGCGCTGACCATGGTGACCAAATGCATTCTGTCTGTTTATATACATACTGATAAATGGATGGATGAGAACCGTGGTGGGAGATTGGCCATCAAAATGAATCGGGGAGCCTGGGCCAACAGCGGTTGTACTTCTATGTTCCTACGATGGAAACTGGCCACAGTCTCGGGTTCGGGCAACTATTGCTGGCGTTCCACGAAATCGCTCATTATTCATTTCTGGAGGGATGATTGGCTGCGTTGATCAGTGGACAAAAAATATTGGATTTAAACTGAAAGGCAATATTTAGGCAGCAGATGCACACCGCTTTGATTGAGGGCAGATTAAATATATACACACACAAGAGCTCAATAAATCTCAATCCAGTTATTGTTTTTTTTATTTCTAATGTGCATTCTATAATGTAAACTTGAGACTTGCCAAACCTTATTCAGTTAATCTACGGGCGCGCGCGTGTATTTATAACTGTACCGAGTTTCATTTCGCGCCATTTAATCATTTGGCCCACGGTTCCCGTGGACATATGCCAGTCTCGCACATGCCTAATGCAAAAAACAAGTGTCTCCTGTTACAAGCAGAGACCCATCGAAACAATAGTAGAGCTTTGGGTTGGTAAATCACTCTGGCGAAATAGCTAACCCCCCCCCCTATACCGGGCCTTGTGATGTACAGCAAAGTATGGAGAGGGAACGTGCAAAGTTTAAAAATAAAGGGTTTTCTTATTTGAACCATTCATGTTTTGCGTATAAACGCATTGGCCATCTAGGGTGATCCCCAGAAGGGCCAGTGTTGTACGTGTGTGTGTTGAACTTCTTTCGCACCCTACGTATCC